TTCAATCTTTTATAGACAATCAACAACTGATATTATATTTCTTATTATTTATATTGATAATATTGTGATTACAGGAGAAGACTATGCAAGAATATCCTCTCTCAAGTCATTCCGACATATCAAGTTCAATACCAAAAACTTGAGACAATTAAAGTATTTCTTAAAGGTTGAAGTAACAAGAAACCAAAAAAAGATTTTGTTATCTTAGAGGAAGTATGTACTTGATCTACTTGCAGAAACAGGAAATCTGGGAGCTAAACCATGCAATACGCTTATGGTACTAAAAGTACATCTTACAAATGATGATGGTGCTCCCCTTGATAATCCAAAAAAATACAGGCGACTTGTTGGGAAATTGAATTACCTCATTATGACTCGTCTAAATATTCCATATCCTGTAAATATTGCAAGTCAATTTATGTCTGCACCTACAGTTAAATATTGAGAGGTTCTGGAATAGATTATGTGCTACTTAAAAGGTGCCCCGGAACTCGGTATAATGTTTAGAAATCACAGACATACTCACATTGAATGTTTTACAGATGCTAATTGGGTTGGATCGAAGATTGATAGAAGATCTACTACGAACTATTGTGTTTTTGTTAGTGAGAATCTCGTATCATGAAAAAGTAAGAAGCAAACAGTTGTATCTCACTCAAACGCAGAGTCTGAATATAAAGGTATGACTCAGTTCACATGTGGAATCTTATGGATATATCATCTTTTAGAAAAAAATGGATTTGAATCCCACATCTCCTGCAAAATTTTGGTGCGATAATCAGTTTGCACTTTATATTGTCTCAAATTCTATGTATCATGAGAGAACCAAATATATCGAGATTGATTGTTACTTCATCCAAGAAAATATTCAGAAAAACTTTATATCTACTAGTTATGTGAAGACAGCAGAACAAGTTGGTGATATATTTACAAAACCTCTGAATAGAACACAGATTGAGTATCTTCGGAACAATCTAAGCATGATTAATATCTATATTTCAATTTGAGGGGAAGTGTTATAATATTATAAAATATTTTCTAATATAATAGTATGATTATATTTTCAAATATATAAACTTAATTAGGAAGAAAATTATTAGGGTAATTTATGTTGATTACTATATATGAATCCGTTTACATGTATATATATCCCTACTTTTATTTCAATAAAACATAAGAAAATATTCAGTATTCCTTTTCCTAATTCTTACACTAGGATTAGTCACAACATCTCATTTGACTAAATGAATCTTATGCTTCTCCTAACTACCTCTCCTAAGAAACTGTCTATTAACCTTATCAATATTCTCCCAAATTACAAGAGAAAGTTTAGTGGACTTCATAGTGTACAAGGGAAGAGAAGAGGTCACTGAATTTATCAAGGTAACCCGACTTGCAAAGAAAAGGTTTTTAGCTTTCCAACCACTTAAGCGAGACTGAACTTTCTCTAAAATTTCATAATAGGTCTGTTTAGTGACCCTACCATGGATGATAGGGACCCCAAGAGACTTCCCTAAATTCTTGGTCAAAAGAATGCCCAAAATATTACTAATCCCAAAAGCCAAACTGTGAGAAATATTAGGAGACAAAAACAACTTGGACTTATTAAGATTGACACGTTGACTAGAATGACTGCAAAAATTTTACAGAAAATTTGAGCTTGGCACAAAAGAAGCATTAGAAAAAAAAAGAAGATCATCAGCGAAGAATAAAGAAGCAATAGGAGGACAGTTCCTGCCCGCTTTGATAGGAGACCTGTTTTTACGCCGAACCTCATGATCAATTAAATGAGCTAATCTTTCGATGCAAAGGACAAAGAGGTAGGGCGAAAGGGGGTTTCCGCCAAGGAGACCACTTTGAGGCGCAAAAGAGTCTGTGACCTCCCCATTCCAAATGAGGGACATAGATGGCGAACGCACACAAAACATTATAAGATTCACTAAAGAAGAAGGAAATCCTACTTGACCCAAACTTTCTTCAAGAAAATCCCAACTTAAGCGGTCATAGGCCTTTTCCAAAACAATCTTAACCGGCATTAGACCAGATTTATGACGAATAATATGGACCAATTCTAAGGCAAGAATGATGTTTTCAATGGTAGTCCTACCTTTGACAAAACTAGATTGGGTTAGAGCAAGAAAATTCTTCAAAAGGGCTTTCATCCTATTGGCTATGATTTTAGTAAAAATCTTTTATACCACGTTACATAAGCCTATAGGACGGAACTGTGTAATAAAATCAGGCTTAGGAGCCTTGGGGATGAGACCCTACCATAGATGCCAAGGCCAATATTATTCAACAAAACATATGGGATGCCAAGGCCAATATTATTCAACAAAACATATGGGATGCCAAGGCCAATATTCTATGTACTAAGAAGAGCTCTTGAAAGGCTATTTCTAGCCTTTATGATTCTTTTTACCCTTAATTCATATAAGGGCAGGGGACGGATCACGCTTGTATTTTTAGGATGAACCTTGGATTAATAATGTGTCCATAGCTTATTGTTTGCCCAGACTTTATAATTATCAAGAAATCACGACCTAAAAGGTGGCGGTGACGTGTGGCCAACATATAGCTAAAAAAGACTACTAGCTAGCCTAATTGTCATAAACTCCTCCAAGTCCACAATCAAAAGCATCACATTTGACGATAAAAGGTTGAGAGAAATCAGGTAGAATAAGGACAGAGGCAATCTTAATTGCAATTTACAGTTTCTCATAGGCTTTTGAAGTCATTATCCATACATAGGAGTTATTATGAAGAATTGTTGTCAAGGGCCCTCCAATAATACCAAGATCCTTGACAAATATCTTATAGTAACCTATCAAATTGAGAAGCCCTTATAGGCTCCTAGGAGTTGATAGTTTCAGTTAATGAAGAATTGAAGCCACCTCTAATGTGTCAGCTACCACACCTTTTTTTGAAATCGCGTGGTAACGAAAGAAACTTGTGACCTTTTAAGATATGCAGGGATCTTTAAGCAAGGAAAATACTATAAACCAAGATATTATCCAAAGATACCAACATAGAATTTTGATGATAAGGTTGAAAGAAAGGACAGAAAATTATAAGGATCATTTGCAAATCTAAAAGGCATGACTAGAAATTCTTGGTGACCATGATTAGTACCCAATTTCATCCTCTCAACATCTACTTGGTGGATTTGGATATAACAATAGCCAGACTGCAAACCTAGCTTGGTGAAGTACCAAGCATCGTACAACTCTCAGTAACTAATCAGTGGCTATAATCGGGAATATCTGATGGTCAAAAAGTTGAGCGTTTATTGATCGACTCGAGACCTCCAAGTTCCATCAATCTTTTTCACCCAATAACACTAAAGAAAAAGGGGAATGAATATCCTCAACTGTAGCATGTCACAAACCTACCTTTGAATCTCGTCTTTTTGGAGGAGCAAATATGGATAAGGGCATGCCACATCAACCTACCTCTGAATCTCATCTTTTTGATGAGTGAATATGCTCAGTGTGGTTCAACATGGTTGGGTCCCTTCTCCTACAGTAGGAAGCTTCCTTCATGTCATATAAAGGCTAATGGAGTAAGAAAGACAGCAAAAGAAGAATTTTTTATGATGGACAATCATCTTCCACGAGATATGGGAAAAAAATTACATTATGCATTAAGGCATATGGTTATTTCTCTGAGATAGCTATTCACAATCTTCATTAGAACCATGAGACTACCATATTTGTTTCTAAGGCCCACATGATTTGTTCGTTTATGTTCTATAAAACTTTATTCTTTTTGTTTAAATGTTTAGGAGGATGTTTTATTCTCCTCTTTGTACTTTTCTCCCCATATCTTAATAAATCTTCTTTTTCTATCAAAAAAATATGTATACTTGGAGTTCCTATTCAGATGTCAAGGAACTCGTGCAAGTGGCTAGATGCTCAAATTTTAGTGAATCCTTGCTAAATTTAGTTGTCATTTACTACTCCTAGCTTCTTGCTAAAAATTAGGAGCCCAAAAGGCAAGTTACAACTTTCTTTAAAGGTTCCCATGACATGCCTAGCTAGTTCCTTTATACATAACAAATCAAAGTTATGTATCCTCTTCGAGATGGAATAAGATGAGCTCAACTTTCTCATCCTTTAGTGTCTGTAGATGGTAGAAAAATTTATTAGAACAATTGACTAATCAAAAAGGGTCAAGAATACAATAAAAACAAGGGAAGTCAAGTTTAGAGTACTTGGGAACATACTCCTATCTATAAACCCCACTTTTTGTGATGTCCTACCTCATGTTTTCACAATGAACACTCACTTCTAACACGAAACTCTGTGCTATTTTGGTGCCCAAGAGTTCTTTCGAGAGCATCTCAAGATGTTAGATGAGCACCCTTAATTATTCCTCCCATGTCGCACGATGATGCTCTCTATTTATGCAATCCCCGTTTCAAGCTTCCTATTTCACTCTAAGGAAGTTATCAAGTTGATACAATCAGTTTTGATCAGGTTACGGTCAACTGAGGCTTAATTCCTGAATAAAGTAGGCAACTTCATTGTAGATTTCTGGCCCATGTAGCTCATTATAGAGAACCCAATAATCTCTTCGAGTTAAGTACCTTAAAACTTTTTCAGAAATTATTACCTAATATTTAATTGCTATAATTACATATATACAAGGAAAACCACGGCAACTGGCCCCCTAGATTATATGGTCTTAGTTGATCCTGTTATTATCCTAAAAAATTCTCTAATCCTACTTAATCCAAAGTCCAAAGCCAAAGCATCCTAAACCAACATCTGAACTGAAACAGGTTAGATAAACGTAGATATTTCTTCTTCACATGGATCTCCTGTACATAAATTATCCCAGTAAACAGATCAAGACTTCTGGCGGATCTGCTATTTTAGCCATGATACATTCCTTTATATCTGGGCAGCATCACCTTGGCACCTGGTGAGAAATACTATTCTGTTTTCTTTCAAAGGAAAAGAAAATAAAATACATCGGCATGGAATGTGTCGGAATACCTTTCATTTAGGTACTTAGCATACTGACGCAAAAACAAAGCAGCACCCCCAATTGTTTTCGTAGTGTATACTCCTTTCACACCTACCAGAGACAAATAGGAAAGTTATAAATCAATTGTAACAGGGTATTAAAAATTATCCTGTTTATGACAATACTGGAATAATTTAAGAGAATTGTTTCACTTCACTGTCAAGAACGAGAAACATAGAATGCCGTAGAGTAGATAATGTGAGGATACTTCAGTAAAATACGGTCAACAAAACAGTAACAAGCTTCCAGGCGAATAAATAACAATTGGGAGAAGAATTTGACTTTGCAAAATAACTAGTAGGGCCACCACAATAATGTTACACAACAAATAGATATCTGTTACCTTTTAACTTATAAAGCCACCAGGGCAATCGAGACAAACTAAAAAATATGCAACAGTATGGCCTCTAGCATTTAGCAAGAAAATGTCTTAAGACACAAAATGGGAGATGCTAGATCTTAACAACCACCCTAAGCTGCAGTATGGCACTCAGTATGTCATGCAGCCAAGCGGATAAGAGAATATACTAACTGTGAAGAAATAGAGTGCTATAGAGTAAATGATGCAGGGATATTTTACTAAAATAGGGTCAAAAAAACAGTAAAAAACTTTGAGACTAAATAAATAACATTAGGAGGAAGAATTTGATCATGCAAAATAATTAGTAGGACAACAACAATAATGTTACACAAAAAATAGACATCAGTTACCAACGGAGCCACAAGGGCTAAAGATAAAAACAAATATACAACGGCATGGCCCAAAATGTTTAGCAAGAAAATGCTTTTAAGACACAAAGTAGGAGATGCTAGATCTTAACAACCACCCCAGGGCTGCAGTATGGCACTCAGTTTGTCATGCAGTCAAGTGGATAGGAGAATATACCAACTATGAAAAAATTAGTAAATCTCTCTATACTTGAAGAAAATAAGTCATATGAGCTTCGTAACAAGCTAAGAACAAACCAAAATCTTTGTGGTGTACAGGATCATTCAGCGCCTCCATTAGTATGCCAAGAATAAAGTTTTCAGGTACTGATTTCACCCCGCAGCCATAATTTATCCACTCAATGCTCAAAAAAGACTGCATAATTATGCACCTTACTGCATTATATTCCAAAATATGACCAAAAAAATATGAGTTATACCAAGAATCAATGAAAAGACATATAATTATATTTCCTATTAGAAGGTATAAAAAGTATGTTGCATTACTAACAAAAGATATTACTATAGCAAGCGTATAATTTACTAATCTAATAAAAATATATTAAACATGCGTGAAAACCTTGAGGATTATCATGACGAAAGCCTCGCTTCCACAGAATTGATATCCAATCAAAGATTTCACCAAATTCTCCCATCTGCTTTTGTTCAGCTCCTCCCTTAATAGATCTCACAAAGCTATCAGATGAGAAAGAAAATTGAAGTAATAAGGTTGCCTGCAAGAAACCAGAAATATTCAGCAGAGAGGTAAATAGGGTTCTGGTAAGATACTCTGCAAGCAAGAAGATGTAACAAATTTCCCAAAGATAACTCAGTTAGAATTTTAGCATTAGAAAAATAAGAAAGAAAGCACAAAATGGCAGTGATTTATTATTTCTGACAAGAGCTGATCAGCAAATAAAGAGATTTGTGGTTAAGGGTTAGAGAAATAATGTAGATCAATAATAATACTCACCAATTTATTTCAAAAAGATAAAATAAGATTCACCCAAAAACCAGAAAGTATGATAGAGAGGTCTAGACATGGAATGACAACTGCCTTTTAGTTTGCAATGATAGATAGAAGAGAATATGAGATCTACACGTAAAAGCAATCTAGAAAGGATTTTAGGCATCACGAATAACGCTGCTTGATATTTTTT